CATTTCAAGCATGTGTTCGAACTCGGCTTTTACAGCACGCAGTTTCTCCGGGGATAATCGCCGTGGTTTCGCAAACACTGGCGGGCCAGTCGTCGTTATGTGATGAGAAACGTTCGAAGTCACACAAGGGACACAACGACTTGGCTTAAAGACATCCGGAAAGGACTGAATGATAGACGCGTAGGGACTAGAAGCGTCCGTCGTGCAGTACACGGGACTGAGGGGCGGCGTCTTTGTGACTATACCGGAAACAGAGAGTGTTGTGGTAGAATCTATCAACTTATGCTTGCCAGCATCTACCAGCAGCTGATAGTGCTGCAAGAGATCCATACCAATAATGCCGGTGGTCACATCTGCCACTATGAAAACCCAACGAAAGGGACGACGCAATCCAAGGTTGAGATCGAGGAATCTCCGACCATAGGTTGTGATGGGCGAACCGTTGGCGGCACGAAGTTGCAGAGACATTGGCCGCAGACGCTCTTCCTTCGTAGGTGGGATGACGCTAGCTTCTGCCCCAGTGTCAACTAGGAAGCGTATCCCAGAATGTCGATCAGTGACGAAGAAGAGGCGACATGGAAGTGGCTCGCCAGCGACGTTAGTCGCCGTCACGTGCTGGCTCACACGTTTCCCGCCTGGTTAGCCTCGAAGGTGCAAGGTCGAGTGCACTTTTTGGCATTGGCACCATAACGTTTATGGTACCAGCACAACCTGGGTTGGGATTGTCGCGATTTGGAACGTCTGCTATCGGTACGGGAGGCAGACCTGTTGCGCGAGCGAGACGTGCGACCTTTGTAAGAACTACCAGACCGCATTTCGTTCCTGATGCTGCACAACTCTTCATACAATTTTGAGATGTGAGTTATAACATCGAAACTTGTTGGCTCACCAGCCGAAGGAGGATGTGGGTTTTGGGACGAATCCGTGGCAGTAGACAGTGCAGCTGAGATACTAGTGTTGGGTTTCGTAGCATCCACAGCTCTGTCAGCCGCTTCCGCCAGCTCTATTAAGGGACACTTATGGAAGGGTGCGAGGATCCCTTGAACCGACTGTGGTAACCTCTGTAACCACAGTTGCTTGAGAAATGCTTCATCAATGTTGAAGTCAGCAATCAGCTGCTTCATCTGACGAAGCAGTTGCGTCGGCTTGCGATCACCCAGATGCACATCCCTGAAAAGTTCTTGCACTTTCTGCTGGTCAGTAAGTGCAACACGTTTGATGAGGGCGGTTTTGAGGCGATCGTAAAGATTCGGTGCTGGGTCATCTAGCACATCTGAGACGTCTTCAATCACATTTTCCGGTAAGCTGACGATGACTAAGTTGGACTTAGTTTCTTGTGATTGAATGTGTCTCAAGGCAAACTGAGCTTCCACATGGGAGAACCATGCAGATGGTCTGTGGGCCCAGAAGGTGGGAAGCTGGAGGGTTATGGCCATCTGCGCAGTCGAGTCGTTATCCGCCATTGATCAGGGAATTAACGAGGCACGATAGTGATAATAAAAAAAATTACAATGCAAAAATAACCAATGAGGAGTGCAATAATATAAAAAAAACGCTAGACGTGCCAAAAACAAAATAGGCCAGACAAATCAACGCAAGAGAACAAAGGTACTAGACAAAATAAGAAGTGATACTCGGGCTCACCAATTTTTGTAGGGATGCGTGTTACAATTCCGTAACGTTTGATCAACCCTACTTAATTTGATGTGCTCTAGTACCTGCTTAACCAGTACTTTACCTAACGTGTAAGTACTGGTAACAAAACACAAATCAAAAGAACTGATACGCAATGTATTTAAAGGAGCTATGTATTTAAGGTAAATGTTATAATAATGAATGAGGGAAAAGTTTAATCAACTTATCTGGCTTGTAAGGCTGAACTAGGGACTCGGAGTACGTGCGTGGTAATCAGCACAATGGAGCGCAAAAATGGCGTCCAAGCCTGCTCGGATGCATGCTCGTTAAAACAAAACTTAAAACACCCTAAGCATCCGGAGGCAAGCTAGAGATTTATTTAGTTAATTTAATTTAAACTATTTATTTTAGCCCTAGTTATATTTTGGTGCCAGGAAGGTGCACTACAAACTCATTACAGACTGAGGTCCGTGTGGTGGTGTGGTGGTTGGTTGTTGATGGTGTTACTTGTGGAGGAGAGTAGGCATGTTATTTCGTGAGGTCGCGTTGATGACACGTGTCGGTGGGATGGCGAGTGATGTCGGGTAGACATGCAAGTGGTGCGTGGAATGTGGTAGATGGGCCAGCCCGTCGTGCCACACACATGGTGGTGACACCACGTTACCGAGCTCCGAGGGTGGTCGGTTGGTGGAGGAGGCTTGCTCGACTGATGTGACCCCTGCACACGCCAACCAACCCACTGCAGCCACCCAATGTCCGCCCACTGACCACGTCCTACTCTCCGTCTGCACACAGATGTCGGCGGGTCAGTCTTTCGGCTGACGACATCAGAGTGTAGTGTCCGAGTGGGACTCCACCTCGACTGTCTCCTCAAAATCCCCACACCCACGGCGGGACTCGAACCCGCAATCTTCTACTTAGGAGGCAGACGCCTTATCCATTAGGCCACGCGGGCGGACAGTTTACAGCATGCACACTGCACACTCACGAATTTGAATCTACTCGCAGCGTTGTGTTACTTCTACCTATTCGTTTCCTCTTGCAGCTTTTCTTCTCTCAGCTATTTTAGCTTGGATTTTATATTGGCTTCCTCATTGGTATTCGTTTACAACGTTAATTTTTTATTTAAACTTTCCCTGTATACTTTCTTCACTTTCCTAAATGGTATGTAGTAAATGTTCTGAAAAAAATATTTTAGTATATTTGTGTTGTATTCATGAAGCTTTTAGCCTTCTCTGTATCTCATACGATTGGTTGATAAGTTTGTTGGCTGCTTGTACTTCTTCATGTGAGTAACGTTTTACTGTGTTTCCACCTTCTGTGTCTTACGCTACCAGCGCACGCTGTATGTATCACATGGTAATTACACGTGTGAATCATTTTATTGAATAACTTTTCTTAACTTACTCGATTCACTGACTGTTAGCAGGTAAGTCATTTATATAAGCAATTTATGCTTGGTCTTTTTCCTTTCCATGATAGTTGCTTGAATGTCGTTTAAGAGAGTGACTCCAAAGGCCACCTAAACAACTATTTAAGTAACCAATTATTTTTGATTTTTTCATGAAAAAACTGCCTTTCTAACCGGTATGAAAGAATCTAACTAATGATTTCGGAGTCGATAGGGTGACAGTAACAGTTTACTCATGTAAGTATTCTTCTTCTATATTTGAAAGTAACCATTTGGTGAATGAAAAGCCTACTAGGCAGTCAGGGAATTAAATACCAAGTGACTATAATTGCCACCTTAATAACCACTGAAATCAATTTGATACTTACAAATTTCTAAAATGAATCACTAATGTTGCCAATTAGATTTCAGTATTTCATGAGAATCTACCATTTTGCCGAAACAAAGGAGTCATATTGCTTACTTTTACAGTCTTTTATCAGAAATGATCTATCCTATGGGCTTGACGAAAGCTGTTTATCTACCTCTTGTCTTCTCTTCATACTTCAAGTTCAGTTACTTTACCGTGGGTTTGTTTAATGTTATCTTATTGTCTACTGGTATTTTGTGATAACAGAATTGCCTAGTGTCTAGCATTATTTACCGTAAATTAGTCACTAGGTGAAACATTTTCTGTGATACATCTTCACAGTTTTGTGTTAAATGATGATTCTTGGATTGGTACAATAAGTCCTACCATTGAGCCAAGGTACAACCGAAGAGCTACAAAGAATCTTAAGAAAGCACCGAATTAGGACCTTTAACAAGACAATGAACACTGAGAAATGCTCTAGTCCACGTAAAAGATAAAGTTCCTTTTATTTCGACACAAAATTGTGTCTACAGATTAGGCTGTATCGACTGTGATGTCTACTATATTGGAGAATCATCCAGTGAGATCCTCATTAGGGCTAAAGAACATGCAAACTACACAAAACGACCGCCAAATAATCCTGTAGAAACTAGTGAACCTTCAAATCAAGTCGGCGATCGCAGTTCACTTCATCTATCACAATCACAAAATCGATATTGAATATATTAAAATTATTCAAAAGGGATTTTCAAACTACGATGAAAGAAGAATATCAGAGGCATTTCACATTATGTTGAACAGGTAATGCACTCAACAGAAAGGAAGGCCTAACTATCCAACCAACATATCACACACAATGATCTCATCAAAAGTACACACACACACACACACACACACACAAACGAACCAAATTTATCATCCATGTTATTTATTGATTTAATCTTATACTTTCATACCCGGTTACATGTACACATATTCATATCACCTTGACCTCCAGACTAATTAACTGATAAACAAAGACAAATTATCAACGCTTGCTGATCGGCATAGCGATGACATTCACGTTCATATTGTCATCGTCTATCTGTAGACAGACAATGTGATCTGATTCGTCACCCTTTACTATTTAAACTATCGAGTTTTGACGTAGTTGTGGAGATTTGGAAATATTTCAAGTTGTTATTCATCGTAGACTGACATCAGTTGGAGGAACAAAGGAAACCTGGGAGCACTGAACAGCTGTCTCGTCCTGGTATGGGACTCCTCAGCAGTGCTTACCCATGACCCCGCCAGGGATCGAACCCGCAACCTTCAGTTTCCCCGGCCAGCGCGTTACCATCGAGCCACTGGGTGGTAATCCCATGCTCTATATTTCCAATTTCTGTTAACTCACGATATAGCGCAACCACCACCTAATGTCATCGTTGAGTAACTGTCCTAACAACCATCAAGCTTGACCCCACCGGTCACGACTTCTCATTAGAACTTCAAGAATACTTCTCGAAGATAGTCACCAATGAGCAGCAGTTCAATTGAATTTTCTGCACTGTTGAGGAGTCCCGTACTAGGATGAAACAGCTGTCCAGTGCTCCCAAAGTTTCTTTTGTTCCTTCAGCTGATGTCAATCTACGATGAATAACAACTTGAAATTTAAACTATCGATAACTTGTACAGGTTTTATTCTCTATTGAAACGATTTCCACAAAGTCGTGAAATGTTAAAAATTTATTTTTCTACTTCATTAGGACTTTACAAAATATATTTCATTTATAATCCAATTACCCAATGCTTAACTCGATCAGGTCAAATATAGATCCTGAAGTTTATAAAAAATAATAACAGCCTAATTTATGTATTTATTTCATTTTTCTTTTTTCATTTTTTTTTTTGAGAGAAAAAATCGATTGAATAATAAAAAGTGATAAGCAATATCATGATTATTAAGATTTTCAATTCATTAAAATTATTATAATATGATCATAATTTTTATTGAAATATTCACCAAACTAATGAAGTATGACATAAACCATATAAAAATCCTGGTAAATCTTCAGGTAAATTTATATTACGTATTTCTGTTGGCGTTGATAAGTGAAGATTACGTATACATCCTCTAAACATTTCACCTTGATAACTGTAAGCAGCTTTACTCATTTTATTAGATGTTAATACTAGAAAATGAAAAAGTAAATTTTAATAGAGAAAGAATAATTAAAAAAAAGGATATATGCATACTCTTTTACGTAATCCTCGATAATCATCATTAAATTATAGTATAGTTATTACCGTTTCAATTATAATTTATTTAAAAGTATGATTATGATTTTATATCATACCTTCGTTGATTGGACCGAATTGATCGGTCTCTATTGGCATATGGGATCCTGTGTGGATGCCTCCATATTACCTGTTCTCTTATGATAATAATGATGGATAGTGGCTAGCAGTTGGGTTCAGGATGTGTATTTCGTCCTATTTGGGACTCGTCAGCTGGATATACCTACTTGCCAGTGAGTGATGTCACCCCCACCCGGGATTTGGACTCGGGAGCGATCGCTTTAAACGCCAGCGCGTTATCCACTACATCACTGAGCTACAATAGCCACTTCTTTTGTGACGGGTATAGTTTTTAGCATATCATACCGTTGTTGATCGAACCGAATTGATCGGTCTCTATTAGCATATGAGATCCTGTGCGGATGCCTCCATATTACCTGCGCTCTTATGATAGTAATGAAATGTTGCACAAGAAGTGGCTATCGTGGCTTGTTTGTGTAGTGGATAACACTCTAGCGTTTGAAGCAATCGCTCCCGAGTCCGAATCCTGGTGGGAACAACATCACTCACTGGGAAGCAGGTACATCCAGCTGACGAGTCTCAAGTAGGACGAAATGCACATACTGGATTCCATTGCTAGTCAATATCCATCGAATGTATGGATTTAATCTTCAAGAAATACGAACTGATATATAGGTATCACTCAGCCTCAGAGTTAGACATATTACTCTATTGAGGCAATGAACTTCTAACCAAGTACATTAATCAGTCATTTAGTAGTAATTGATGGCCATACTATCTAGAACTTGTAACAATAGAAATTTATAGGCTTAGTTCAGTTTTATGTTGGGACTAACAGAGAATGGAATAGTTAAGTGTTGAAGGAAATTTTCAACTTTATCATAAAAGTAGAATTTTTATCCTATAGAAGAGAATGATTACATTTTGATACACATTTATAGGCATCAATATATTGTTTTCAATAACTTTCACCTTAGATTCTACAGCAATTTATCTGTATGAGTTCATTATAAGATTTAATACATGATAAAAACAGTGAGATCCTTTTATAACATCATACAGTGGAATATAAGGGTCGTCATTCACCAGTATGTTGTTCTTGAAGGTAGTTCTTTGATTATTTTAGATAGTTGGAGGCAATCAGTTGGGAGCTGTGCTCAATCTAAGCTTCATGCATGTTGGCCTTCATTAACGTGAAATCAGTGTGGAGATCTACTATACGTCCACTCCACTCAGCATAAAGAATAATATCCGGATTTTCAACACTAATTCAGTCAAGTCAGTCAGTGCTTCTATGTGATGGTTGAGAGACTTGGCGCGTTACGAAAAGCATTTCCAACAAACTACAGACAGCTGTTATCAACAGTTGCTGCCTACGCTCACTCGATACTGAAGATGGAGATGAGATGACCAGAATGATGATAATAAGCATGTAGGAACTCTGGTTGGCAGCGAAGCAACCAACAACCTATCGCCCAACAAGTATGCAGAACAAAAAGGAGATGGATTGGATTGGACATACACTAGGCTCCCTTGAGTTCCTAGTGGAACATACAGCTTCAGTAACACGTCGCCACTTCACTCTCTTCTCTACAGTCTTTCCAACCTGACCCCACCACTCCTCAGAAGCTTGCATTTCTTCCTTACACCATCTCCTCCATGTCACCCTCGCCTCAGATGCCCAACTCGTCATTTGCCATGCGGGTTCCACTCAAGCACCTCGCGTAACGCGTGATGTCTCCAAACGGTCTTCTCAGTGTATGTCTAGTCTAATCCATTTCCACTTTCTTCTGTATACTTGTTGGGCGATGCGTTCTTGGTAATTTCGTTGCCAGCCAGAGTTCCTTGTTGCTTATTCTGATTATTCTGGCCGTCTGACCTTTCCTTGTCAGTATCGAGTGAGCGTAGACAGCAGCTGTTGATAACAGCTGTCTGTAGTTTGTTGGAAATGCTTTTCGTAACGCGCCAAGTCTCTTAACTATCACACAGAAGCACTGACTGACTTGACTGAAATAGTGTTTAAAATCCGGATCTTGTTCACGTTTTATGCTGAATGCAGTAAATCTCCACACTGATTTCAGGTTATTGAAGGTTTGTCTTGCTTTTCCGATCCTGGCTTTCACGTCCTTATCTGTGCCACCGCCGCCTGTAGTTGAAATGATGCTACCCTGCCTAGGTAGGTGAAAGAGACAACTTCCTTCAGATTTCTCCCGTTGATGGTGATTGGCGCTTGTTGTTGTTGATTATCTTCGCCACCTGTGTCTTCGCTACGTTCACCTGAAGGAAGTCCTGTATTCCTTCACTGTCTAGACTCTTGTGCCAACTTGTTAGTTTTCGCCTGTAGATCTTCGGGTTTGTGCGACAAGACATTAGATATAAATCATCATCATCGGTGGCGAAATCCAAATCTTCTTTCGGAGTCTTTTCATCGGTCCAGCCAACGTATACCTGTCTTCTCGCTCCTCACAGTTTCTTGCATGACCCAATCCATCACAATCAGGAAGATCATCACTTATAGTAGGCAACCTTGTCTTACTCCTGTCTTCACTTAAAAGGCGTCACTGAGCTTTCCATTGTGAATCACATGGCATGTAGCATCATATAGCATATAGCTGTTGAATGAGGTTGATAAAAGTTTGTGCTACTAAAACCATAGTGTTGAAGCAGTTGCCAAATTACTTCTTGGTCGACGCTGTCGAAGGTCTTTTGAAAAACGATGAAGTTGAGGTAGAGAGTTGACTGGCATTCTATGCTCTGTTCTATGATGATGCGTACTGTCGCAATTTGATCCTCATAAAATGATGCTATTAAAAAAATATTACTTAAAAAAAGTCGGAGTAGAAGGGATGTGAATATATATGAGTATGAATACGACAGTTGGGAATCACTTTTCAAGAGTTTTATAAATAAATGAAATTCAACTTACCAGAATTTCTCCCAAGATGAATTGATACCAATCGATCAGCTTTTTTAAATGGTACTAATGTATCACTAATTGATGTTTGAGATTTCAACAAGAATACAGGACGTTTATTAATAAAAGTAATATCCAGTTTAATAAAATGCCAAATATTTTGATTATGTCCAACATTGGCTAAATTCACTTCATGATTTAATTCTAATACATCATCTGTCTGTGTGTAATAAGCCATTTTAACCTAAGAAAAAGAAAATGTAGAAGGAATATAGAATATAAATTACAGAGTGGTAGATGATAGAGTCAATCGATAGTAAGCTCTTTATTTAGCTCATAATTTTATACTTTTTGGTGCTTATAAGGAACCTAACATTTCTCTTATAGTTCAAACCTGCTCAAAGAAGCATTTACTAATCATCATGTTTAGTTCTATGTGATTTACAAGATGTTAAGGGATTTATTTGTGCTCAGAAACTTGGGCACAAGAATGTGAGCAAAGATGCTGTCATCTAGATATTTTAGTCATAAAATTCTATTCATACAGAGGACTAGATAACATGAAATTATTCACGATCCAATGAATGAGTTACACAGTCAGTAAAATAATAAATGAATACAAGAATAATTTTATCTGGAGGTTTCTGGAGATTGACTAATTGATTTTAAGTTGAAATTCATCATGGACTGACATCAGTTGAGGAAAAATTGGAAACATGGGAGCACCAGACAGCTGTTTCGTCCTAGCATACGACTCATCAGCAGTGAGCACCCACGACCCCCAGTAACCAGGGACCGAACCCAGTAACTTCAGGTACCGTTACCACCACGTTACCATTGATTCATATCTCCTGAATCTGTTAGTTCAAGATATAGTGCAATCTATATCCAATGTCGTCATTGAGTATCTATCTGTCCTCATGTTCAAATTGGCTCATTCTCCACTGGTCACGACTTCTCATTGGAACTTCGGGAATCAGCCGTCGAAGCTAGTCACCAATAAGGGTTAGATAAATTTCATCTAGAGGTTTCTGATGATTGACTAATTGATTTTAGGTTGGAATTCATCATGAACTGACATCAGTTGAAGGAGCATTGGGCAGCTATTTCATCCTAATATAGGATTCCATCCATTGACCATTTTTTCAAGCGAATCAACAATCAAGGCAAAATATCATTGGAATTAAGTTCCTTTTGTCAAATATTAAGATGGTTTATTTGATAAACTGAATAGTAATTTAGTTCCATTTTAAGAATTCCTAACAGTTTCCACTGATCATGATTCTACTGTAGGATAAATGCACAAGAAAATAATCCTTTAGTAAATATTTTCATAAAGATTTAGATTAGATTAGTGAAAATTATCACTTCAGTATCTCAAGGTTTCCTTTAATTTTTCACAGTTATACAATAGTAGTTGATAACATTCACTCATAATGATATCGTCATACCAAAGGGAAATATGAATTTATACTTTCAATCTCATATGAAATATTTTGTTTAGTAATCTCTCATTTTTTTTTCCCAGCACTTTTTCTCCCTAACAAAATAGTTTGTTGTGGTAAAAGAATGTCATTTACCAATTAAATAACTTTTAGAAAATTTACACAGATGATGAATATTTAGTGATGCAACAATATTCAAATAAACGAATCTTAGGGTTATGTTAGATCAGTACAAATTAGTAATCGACTAGAAAACTCTATTATATTTAGATTTCGTGGCTATGGCATATGTGTTTGTAATTTTTTGAAAGCTAACGTTGACCAGATCATTACAATCTATGTTAAAAATATGCTAATCATCTTATTTCATTCTAGGGATTCAAATTGTCGGTGCTTGCGAACACCCTCTAACATGGTACATTAAAGGTGTGGTAAAGACCAACTTCATATTAGGACATTTAATTGAAATGAATTATAAAGTGGATATGAATAAGTCGTTTTTTTTATTATGTACCAGGGTTCCCATCAACTTGTCTAAAGGTACCCAACTCGGAATCCTTCAGACTGCAAAAGCAGTGGTAACTGGGATCAAACAACCTGAGTTATGTGTTAAAAGGAAGCAAGTGATGCTGCTACAACTACCGTAGCTGATTTCGGGACGCACAAATTCACTGACATCCTAGCCCAAGTAATGTAATTTTCTAATTCCCTATTGTAGATAATCCTTCATACTTATGATCTGAAATAATTTTAGTTAAGTCTCTTAACGTATTTTATCTCCCTCTTCCAATGTGAGTAACATCCTATCAAGTTACTATTCCTCAAATTATCTTTCCTAGTTGATTGCATGAATGCTTTCCTATTGTTTAACTAAACTGTCGCCTTATAATGTTACACAAACCGTATAACCATTTGGATAATCAGTATTTCTGAATTGAATCCCAGTAACCAACAACAAAAAGCACTAATCACCATCAACGGGAGAAATCTGAAGGAAGTTGTCTCTTTCACCTACCTAGGCAGGGTAGCATCATTTCAACTACAGGCGGCGGTGGCACAGATAAGGAGGTGAAAGCCAGGATCGGAAAGGCAAGACAAACCTTTAACTTGCTTGTTCCCTAAAATCTGCTCTATAGCTAACGGCTCACACTTTCCGGCTGTTCACACAGTTATTTCTTCTGAAAGTACCTGATAGGGAAAAAGATTTGTAAGATAACAGAGCCCATGAGACATTTGCTTGAGGCCTCTCACACACAGCCTTTTCAGGATTGTTGGTATGACATTTGATCGTTCTAACACCGGATTGAGAAAACTCAGACTGCCAGGACCGAAAGACAATAGAGCAGACAGTAGTGTTCTATTTCTACAGTCGAGCTTTCCTCAAACCCCTCTTTCCCATTGGGAAGGCAGCATCAGCGTGGCACTGCAGGTCATCCAAGGCGAACACCTTCCTGCTGTCATAAGGCATCCAGCCAGCAGTACGACTCCTTCCCTTCCCCAAGTTACACTACAACAGTAATTGCTTTTCATCTTTCTTACACGCTGGGACCTCGAGGAAACAAGCTTTGCAGCCAGAATAGTTTGTTAGGTCATTCATTATGACACGCTAGTCTGACCACCACATCAAAGTAGCTGCTATCGATCGGGAATAACCAATGATAAATCTGTATTTTCTGAAAAAAATCTGCCATTCTAGCCGCAACAGGGAAACTTATTTGTTTCTAGGATGGCCTTTAAACTCACTCAGTCAAACAAACTCAGTCACCGAAAAGTGGTTTAACTATCTAACAGGGGGGATAAAGAAAGAAGACTAGTCCAGAAATGGACCAATCAAAATGTACTTTATCCTAATCACTGACAGACGATAGATCAACCAATCAGTATTACTACTTCAAAAGCAGGACTATGTATGTATTTAGATACATTCTCCATTGTTTTTTATCTCCGGTCTTCGGTGTAAATATATGTTCCTACAATTTCACTGCGTTTTCACTAATTAGTCGGGTTGAGAATCAACTAGGCAGTTATTGAACATTGGTGGCTGACAGCTGATATCCGTACATCGTTAGAGGCTACAACAGTTTGGCATCGTAATTATCATTCTTGACTGTATTTCCAATAACTTTAAAAGCCATCCTAGTAACTATTGAAATAACCAGTGAATTTTCAGCTGGGAAGGTAGTTTTTCATAATATACAAAAACGTAATTAGTTATCTCAGCAGTTGTTAGGATGGCCTTTAAAATCACTCCTCCATTTGGCCTCCTATTGGACCAAGAAAATCTTGATAATTAATTATTTTCTAAATTATCATGATTACAAAAATAAATGATGAGAAGGAAGGGAATTCAACAGCCGCCAGATTCAAATCCTCTTGCAACTCATGGTTTCTTTTAACTTTTATTGTTGCTTGTTTACACTTAGATCAACTTATCATAATAAAGTTTATTTTAAACAGAATAATTCTTTATAATAAAAAAAAAAGTATAATTATTTACCTCATTATTAGAAAGGAATAACCACAAATGAATTTCATCACTTGGTGAATCAGTTGTCCCGCCAAAAGTGAGTACAAATAAACTAGCTTGCTTTATTGTATTCCGATCATAGAAAAAACTGAAGTCGAATGTAAGTTTATCAAGTCCAGGTTGAGTGAAAATTGGGGGTACTGGGAAATAAAGCAAAAGAATATATAACAAAATTAGGAATCCAAAAGTCCCCTGTCTCTCTCTCTCCCTTTCTCTCTCTCTCTCTCTCTCTCTCTCTCTCTCTATATATATATATATATATATATATATATATATATATATATATATATATATATATATATCAACGTAAAACCTCTCATACAGGTGCTTCGGTTCAAGTTGCCACACATCGCAGTAATACACAAACAACAAGAGGATAGAAAAGGAGTGGTATCAGTAGAGACAAAGTAGTATGAGAGAATAAATAAGTTGAAGATAACAGATAGTGTTAATATTCAATCTTTAGAAGATGACAAAGAGTGAATACATTTGTTCTACTGAGACCAGTTTCCAGCTATGTCATTAAGAGTCCTCTCAACCACTGATTCTTATTGTCTCGAGGACTTCATCTAGGCAGTCTAAATCTCCCTACATGGCTCAAACAAACAATTAGAGGCTTCATCAACTAGTGTCACGTCTTGGTCTAGGAATGCTGAAAGATCTTTCAACTCAATCTAACTTCTCTTAACGCGGTACATCGATGTAGGTGGCGGATTGGCATGCACACTACATATACAAGCTATCTCAGTCGTCTAAGGTTCATAACCTCATCAATCCACTTGCCTATTTTGTCTAGAATTCTTTCGTCTGACCTCAACATTGCTCACACTATAATTCCACCAAAAGTGAGCAATGACGGATTTGTTATCAAACCATTAGTTTGGAGATTCTATCGCTCGAAAAACTGAGAAGACTTAATCATATGCGAAATTTCCTGACTATTCTATCACGAAGAAAGTATGCACTAAACAACATAAGGGAAGTCTGTAAGTTTAAAGATTTTCCCTTTAAGTTGAATTATTATTATCATTATTTTTCCCTTGGGTTCCTAGTGGAACATAGGGCTCCATTAGCATGACTCCATTGCATTCTGTTCTCTACAGTCTTTTGAACTTCACTCCACGACTGCCCACAAGCTTTCATTTCTTCCTCACACCAACTCCTACATGTCACCCTCAGCTGGGACGCCCAACTCGTCGTTTCCCCTTTTGGGATTCCACTCGACGGCCTGGCGAGTGATGTCCCCAATCGGCCTTCTCAGTGTATGCCTATCCAGTCCATCTCCACTTTCTTCTGCATACTTGTTGGGAGATAGGTTGTTGGTTGGTTCGTCACCAGCCAGCCAGCCAACCAGCCATAGTTCCTTGTTGCTTATTCTTACTATTCTGACCATCTGATCTGATCTTCAGTATCGAGTGAGCGTAGGTGGCAGCTGTTGATGAATGTCTGTAGTTTGTTGGAAATGCTTTTCGTGATGCATCAAGTTTCTGAACCATTGCATAGAAGCACTGACTGATTTGACTGACATTGGTGTTTAGAATCCGGATCTTGTTCTTTGTGCTGATTTCAGATTAATGAAGGCCTGCCTTGCTTTTCCGATTCTGGTTTTCATATCCTCGTTTGTGACGCCTGTAGTTGAAACAATTCTGTCTTGCCTAGGTAGGTGAACGAGACAACTTCCTTCACATTTCTCCTGTTGATGGTGATTGGTGCTTCTTGTTGTTGTTGGTTGGGTATCTTCATCACCTCCGTTTTTTCTACGTTCACTTGAAGTCCCGTCTTCCTTGCCTTGTCTCTTCTGTCAACTTGTTAGTTTTTGCCTGTAGATCTTCGAGTTTATGCGACATTAAACATAAATCATCGGCGAAATCCAAATCTTCTAGGATCTTTTCGTCGGTCTAGCTAGCGTATGCCCATCTCACTCCTCACGTTAATATGAGTTAGGACAGATATATGAGTGGCTTAAAAGGTCATATTGGCCAATACACTTACTCAAACTGAAATAATTAGTTAAGAATCTGTTGAGTAATAAAAGCTTGAAAATTAGACTCATCATCTCTTTCTTTCTGCTGGGGTAAAATTGAGGAAATCTAAGTTCCTAATTCCTTACATAGAATAAAGTGTTTGTAACTGTTTTCAACATTACTTTAAGCATACAGTTATGCAGAAACGGAAACAAATATTTTAATAAAGTTTTTTACTGAAAAGCACAAGAAGAAAACGATTAAGAAAATGGCTACTTAAATGGTTACTCAGTCAAGAATTTTAGTAACCCAAGAAACGACTTTAAATTTATAACGGCTGATGGAGAAATCCAAGACTACCATCCATTCTTGTTTGGGACTCGTCAGCTAGATATGCCTGCCTTTTGTGAGCGATTTTACCTCTTCCAGAACTGACCAACTTGAACACTAGGGCACAATCCACTATACCACCGAGTGCGACGGGTATAGCTTTTATGTTGTTACTTAATACTGAAACCAGTGTGGAGATCTTCTGCACTCAGCATGTGAAACAAAATCCGGATTTTCAACACCAACCCAGTCAAGTCAGTGCTACTATATGGTTCAGAGACTTGGCGCATTGCGAAAGGGATTTCCAACAGACTACAGACATTCATCAACAACTACCTACACTGGCTCGATACTGAAGATCAGATGGATTGCCAGAATAGTGAGAATAAGCAACAAGGGACTCTGGCTGGCTGGCTATCAGCGAACCAACCAATAACCTATCACTCAACAAATATGCAGTGGAAGGAAGTGGAGATGGATCGGGCATACACTGAGAAGACTGACTGGGGACATCACTCGCCAGGCCCTCGAGTGGAACCTAGATGGGAAGCGACGAGTTGGGCGTTCGAGGCGAGGGTGACATGGAGGAGATTGTGTGAGGAGGAAATGAGAGCTTGTGGGCTGTCGTGGAGCCAGGTGGGAAAGATTTCCGAGAAGAGAGTGTACTGGAGACGTGCTAGTGAAGCCCTATGTTCCATTAGGAACCCAAGGGACAAATAATAAATAATAATTATTGATTTATAGTATACATCTGTCTTTAAAGCTTGCAAAGAGATTTGGATTCCTCATAGGTAATTTGTCTACAGTACACTTCTGAATGGTTTTAATGGAACCACTGACTTACTTATGCAGTGAATTATGATTATGGCTATATTTTTAAGCTTGTTACGATGTTATGCGCAAGGAAAAACAGAAATGGAAGTTTTTTGTCCTGGTAACGATGTGACACGATATTAGAGTTGAACTGAGATTAACCACAGTGGTGACAATTAAACACGTGTCGGTGATAGAAAAATCACTAATTGAGCATAACATTTCTGGCGTGAAAAATGCTGATTAGGCTTTCTTAAAGCTTAACAAATTGGCTCAGTATCAACTTGGGAGCATTAATCTTTACTTTTTTAAGGGGGAATTGTTCTAGCTATTGAATGAAGCAGTACAAGTGTTTTGGTGATATAGTGGATAGATTTGGGTGCGATTCATGTAGCTTCATGTGCTGGATGGTGAAAACAGTTAGTCTGTGGATCTTGTCAGCTTGTACATAACCAATTACTCACCTACTCCTTGAGTAGTTTTAAATAAACCTATTCATGATTCTGTTCTTAAACATATACTACTTTCGATAAGATAATGGTATTAATATTATTATTTGTCCTTTGGGTCCCTAATGGAACACAGGGCTTCACTAGCACGTCTCCAGTACACTCTCTTCTCGGAAATCTTTCCCACCTGGCTCCACGACAGCACACAACCTCTCATTTCCTCCTCACACAATCTCCTCCATGTCACCCTCGCCTCAAACGCCCAACTCGTCGCTTCCCATCTGGGTTCCACTCGAGGGCCTGGTGAGTGATGTCCCCAGTCAGTCTTCTCAGTGTATGCCCAATCCATCTCCACTTCCTTCCACTGCATATTTGTTGAGTGATAGGTTATTGGTTGGTTCGCTGATAGCCAGCCAGCCAGAGTCCCTTGTTGCTTATTCTCACTATTCTGGCAATCCATCTGATCTTCAGTATCGAGCCAGTGTAGGTAGTTGTTGATGAATGTCTGTAGTCTGTTGGAAATCCCTTTCGCAATGCGCCAAGTCTCTGAACCATATAGTAGCACTGACTTGACTGGGTTGGTGTTGAAAATCCGGATTTTGTTTCACATGCTGAGTTTAGAAGATCTTCACACTGGTTTCAGGTTAATGAACGCCTGTCTTGCTTTTCCGATCCTGGCTGACTTTGACGTCCTCGTGTGTGCGGCCTGTAGTTGAAACAGTGCTACTTAGGTGGGTGAAGGAGGTTACTTCCTTTAGGTTTCGCCCGTTGATGGGGATTGCAGCTTGTTGTTGTTGGTATACTTAGTTACAACTAAATGATCGTTGACTGATTCACAAATACTAGAGAACAAATTGGAAAATCTCCTTAAATAACTCTTCAGAAGTGTTAATTAGTTGAAGGCAATCGGCTTGGACCCCGGATTTCGTGCTTGTTGGCACTCGTCAGTAAGGTGTATCTGAAACCTAAAGGAAACTGATGTTCCCCTGTACAATTTGAACTCACATCACTTTTCAATAGAATTTAGAAGACAGAAGTTAATGTATGACAAAAGTAAGTGTATGCTTTTGAAACTTATAATCTAAAGTTTCGGATGACTTAACTAGGTGGAAGATACTTATGACATTCAAACAGACTTCTTGTCACTTACTTTGCAATTGAACTAAATTATACTTTAGATAATCATCAATATTCTCTGGAACATGAACGATTGTTGGATTAAGACTGAAACAGTCATAACAAACTGGACGATTGCTTGTTCTCAGCTGAATACTGACATTGTTCATTGTCAATTCATCCACACATCCAAATAGACCATAAATACTAAACTGAAAAAGAAGAAGGAATAAATAAACGAAGATAAATTATTATGAACCAGTAAATTATCACCTATTTTACAAGTTTCTTAAATTAAAAATGTTTAATGGGCTGGTGGTAGTACTTGGTATGAATTCAGAATTCTTACTGAATGATCTGATTGTCATTTCTAGCTCTGTTACGAATAATGCTTTCTTCGTAAACACTTCCATTGAAGCATCAATATCATAACCTATGAATATTATCCATGGTGTGATGATTAAGGTTGTATTGAAAATATGAAAAGGTGACCTGTCTTGTTGGTTATTTGTTGAGGCTAAGTGGCAGTTCCACCCGACGACTGATCAAGGGATCGGCATTACTAAATGATAGCTTCAAGACTGATTGACAGTATGTGTTATCACTAAACACCATAAACATACAGCCTTCTTAATGCGGGTACACCAGTGATGATATAGGCTCCATACAGACGAAATAGCCGTATGGTGTTTAGAGCATATTGATCCAGTTAGTGAGCACTGCTGACCGATTTCAGTGGTCTACAACAACTCACCTCAATCAGTTGTATATTTCGTATAGTCATCATGCTCCCAATATGGCGATTAGTCATAGTAACAAGTGGGTTACATTATGCGATCTAAATATCTTAGTTTTCATAGAAAACTGCCGTGAAATTTCTGGTGATGGACTTTGTATTTCTAGACACCTGATTTGAATCTAACACAACTCCGTATAGTATGATTGTTTTTAAATCAAACCTTCGTTGATTGGACCGAGTTGATCGGTTTCTATTGGCATATGGACTCCTGTGCGGATGACTCGATATTACCTGTGCTCTAATGACAGTAATGATGGATAGTGGCTAGCAGTGAAATCCAGGGTATGCAACACCTTCTGTTTAGGACTCGTCAGCTGGATGTTATTTCCAATGGGTTTAGGACTCGGGAGCGATCGCTTCAAATGCCAGAGCGTTACCCACTACACCACCGAGCCATGATAGCCACATCTTGTGTGTGCTAAAAAGTATACCTGGTGGTGTAGTGGGTAACGCTCTGGCGTTTGAAGCGGCCCCTCTCGAGTCTGGATCCCGGTGGGATTAACATCACTCACCGGGAGGCAGGTGCATCCAGCTGACTAGTTCCAAATGGGACCAAATGCACACCTTGGATTCTACTACCAGCCACTATCCATCAATACTTCTTATGTTTAACAAGCTTTTCCGTGCTGGTATGTTGTGACTGCTTAATCACTGTCATTTGTTCCGTTTTTGGTAATCGCCACCATTCTTTTACGTCACTCTGTACCAATTGTTTGCAATAGGAATACAGATGAGTAGAAATTAGACCAAACGAAATACTACTTAACTGATTAAATACGTCGTGATCTAATTGGTCAATGGACAGTAATCAATATCAATAAGTTAAATTTTCTTGCTGATTTCAATCTTGCATCATCCCCAGTGAACCAAATAACTTGACATCGTGAGTCGTTCCTAAAACAATAGTAGAATCGTCACGTTACTCGGCCGCTTGCAAGACTCTACGTTTTAGAAACCCTGTAACATACTACTTATTATTGGTAAGTAGTGTAAGATATATTGTTAATTTTATTTCCAAAACTATCAATGTCACTACTTACCGTCTGGCCATTTGGTTGTAATTGTAAGTTGGGCATTCTGGGTAAGCCACCAATGAATACAACGGATGGCAAGTTAAATAAGTCCACTGGTGGAAGCCAAAAATGACGATGGTCGAATAAGAGCTATGCCAAAAAGAAAATATTTTGAGTAGAAATTGAAAAGACTTAGTGTTTTAATTCCTAAACAAGTGCAGTATAACATTTGATTACTATTTGAAAATGTCTAGTTTTTCAAAGAAACTTGTTACGATTCCTCTCAATTCTCCCCAATTCAGTCATGTATGTTATTAGTGGCGAGTATTTTTAAAGAGTCACAAGTCAGTATTACTCAAATATTCTTTGTTCTCTGATTGTCAATCATTCCGCAGGTTATCCTTGAAATAATACCTTGGAGCTACTATTTTACAAGTTTTTTTCTTCTGCTTGTTCTAAAAAAGGACTCAATATATAGATAAACAGATAACTGACTTTTAATCACATTGAATAAGGGATAGAAATATATCAGTTACACTGAGCATAGTAGGCTGATTGTCTTGGTTGTATTGTGTTCTCTGAGCTGGGTTGTTTAGTCATGACTCAACAATGCAATTTGTACTATTGACTGGTTCACCGGTCGACTGTCAACAAGTGGGTTACGGGTTCAAATTCCGCTCCGCCCTCCGCGTTTTAAGGAACAACCAGTAGTTCTCGTAAGCCACTTGAATTAATCCAGGTACACTGCCGTTAACTTCGGTTCTAAAGGAACGACGCGACTGTTCGGTGTTGAGATGACCTAAAATCTGGTAGATGAGTACTAATGATTGGCGTAACATTGATCATCTGCACCATATTTATTATGAGTGACTATCTACTTTGACTGATTTTGTTGAGGAGCTAGACAGGAACGATGCGGGAATGCATAAAGAAAACCTAGAGAGTTTGAATAACTGGAGCGGGAAATTCAATAAAAGTAGGCAACTCGAACCCATCTCATTCCTAAATAAGTAAAAAATATCATTCGCTGATCAGAAGTATGTATTTTAATACACACTCTCACAGAGGATGTCTATAAATGGAAGCAGTCAAAAGTATGCTACCATTTGTATAGATGACTCCAATTTTATTCCTGATATAGGGCTTGCATATACTAGATTTTCGGTTCTTTTGACCACTTGTATTTAGATATGTAAATTTTCTGCATTCTTTTTTAGTGTTGATAAAGTTTGGGAATTGGGACACTAAAGACTTTAAGTGGTATTACTTATTGAGGCAGTCAGCGTGGTAGGATAATGGTTAAGCCTTCATATCATTCAACGTCTAGATAAACCGAATGGTTCATAATTAAACCACCCAGCTCAAAGAACACAACACAACTAATATATATATATATATATATATATATATATATATATATATATATATGTTATTAAAGGGAAATCATACACAACTCACTTGTAATCCACTTTCAACTCCAGGACCATTTTGTTCTTGAATTAAGTCTGATGATTGGAAGATTAATTTCAATCGATGCCATGTTGTATCTGTTATTGTCATTAAGGGACTGGACCAGAAGAAATTCTTTCTGTCTGCACTAACAAATACTTGATTTTTTGATAAAACAATATAAAGATTGCCTTCATCTGGACCGAAATTGAAAGCAGCCAAAAGGCTGTAAACATCTTCTTCAGTTTCACCATCAATTGTCCCATCACCGCCTACAGCTGTATTTGCTAACTGAGCACGGAAACCGATTGTGAATTCAAGTGGTGCATTTCTTCATTAGTGTAAGACAGAAAAACAAAATTATAATATGAAATGTTGTTAAGTTTAATTGAGTTATTACTCAGAGATTATTGTCTCATCTAAGGCTATATAAAGATTTCATTTCTTTTGTGTATGTGGCCTATTTTACTTATACTTATTCGGGATTAATTCGTAAAACAGTGGAAGGTTAGGGATTATATCCTATTTTCAGTGCTAGTGCTGATTGGTCTAAAGGAAACTTTTAGTTCACCTAAATTTAGTTGTTAAGGCATAAGGACTTACGGTTATGGTTATGATTTGATATTACGGTGGACATTTCATTGGTAAACAGTATGAATTTTTAACTTTTAACTGCAGATTTCTTTGACTTCAGGCAGTAAAAAGTGCGTAAAAAACCTTGATAATCAACGTGAAACTACTATATAAAGCTTAATTTCATCTTACTATGGCAAATATATTCTAAAATAATATCACCTAAATACTTGTTCCAAACTGGGAGGGGACAACACAGGAAGAGAACTAACCATGGGTGGAGAAGCGCTCAGTGAGGTGATGAACGAGAATGGAGAATTGTTTGCAGAATTCTGTGCATTCAACGATTTGGTGATTGGAGGCAGTGTGTTCAGGCACAAGGATATCCACAGAGCCAGCGACATGGATTTCACCAGACAACATGAGACACTAAAAATCAAATCGACTCTATCTCAATCTCAAGAAAATGGAGACGCAGTCAGCCTACTTGACACAAGGTCAAGAAGAGGAGCAGATGTAGGTTCAGGCCACTCACTATCGAGTGCAAGGAACCTTCCAAATCAAGTTAAAAGCCTTCAAGGAAGCTGGTGATAGACCACAGTTCAAGTACAACACCCAGAACAGAAACTGAAGGATGAAACTACAAAGGAAATCTTCACGTCAGTCAGCCATCAAGACAAAATGGGAGATATCGAGGAAGATCCCTGAAGAAACCTGTGTGGAAGAACACTGGAAGTCTTTGAAAGCTATGTGGAAAGAAACCTGCACAACAGTATTAGGAAGGAAGAAGAAAGAATGCAAGGACTGGAATGGATCTCAACGGATACATGGAAGCTGATAGAGCAGGGAGAGTAAGGTGGTCATAGTGAAGCAGAAGATAAACCAGTGCAGTGCAAGGATACTCAACGACAAGAGGAACTGAGTACAATGTATAAAACACTACACTGGACAAAGAAGTGAAGAAGAGTGTACGCAAAGACAAAAGACACTTCTACGAAACACTGGCAAGTGAAGCAGAACAGGCTGCAGGTAAGAGAGACCTGACGACATTGTATCAAATAACCAGGTTGCTATCAGGAAGAGATCAACACAGATGAAATCAATAAAAGATGAAGAAGGAAATTTAATTACGAAAGAAGAGAAACAGAGGAAACAATGGGCCGACCACTTCAAAAAGCTCTTGAATCGACCACCACCTGAGCTTCGTCCAGAAATACCACCTGCAGCCCAACCGCTGAATTACAAGTGAACATATATCCTCCAACGAAAATGAAAGTCCTGAACGCCATAAAGATACTGAAATGTGGGAAAGCAGCAGGACCAGATGGAATCCCACCAGAAGCACTGAGAACAGACGCAGAGACAACAGCGGACATGCTCATACCACTATTGCAGAAGGTGTGGAAGGAAGGGAAGGTACCTGCAGATTGATTGGAAGAAGGGCTATCTTGTCAAACTGCCGAAGAAGCGAGACCTCAGTGTTTGCAGGAACTTGAGAGGAATCACGCTCCTGTCCAACCTAAGCAAGCAAAATCTTAAGTCGCATCATCTTGGAGAGACTAAAGGATGCGCTGGATTCAAAACTACGACCGGAACAGGCAGGCTTCAAGAAGTACAAATCATGCACGGACCAAATTACAACGCTTCGCATCATCAGAGAACAGAGCATAGAATGGCAATCAGCTCTCTACCTCAACTTCATCGACTTTGAGAAGGCCTTTGACAGCGTCGACCGAGAAGTAATTTGGAAACTGCTTCATTACTACGGAATACCACAAACCTTTTTCAGCCTCATTCAACAACTATATGAAGATGCCACATGCCAAGTAATTCACAATGGGAAGCTCAGTGATGATTTTGAAGTGAAGACAGGAGTGAAACAAGGTTGCCTACTATCTTCCATGATATTCCTGATTGTGGTGGACTGGATCATGCAGCAAACAGTGGGGAGCGAGAAGAGGGGGATAGGCTGAACCGTGGAAAAGAACCTAGAAGATCTGGATTTCGCCAACGACGACTTGTGCCTGATGTCACACAGACTTGAAGATCTACAGGCGAAAACTAACAAGTTGGCAGAAGAGGCAGGGCAGCGAAGATGGGACTTCATGTGAATGTAGAGAAGACAGAGGTGATGAAGATACCCAGTGCTTCTGTATGGCTCAGAGACTTGGCGCGTCACGAAAGGGATTTCCAATAAACTACAGACATTCATCAACAACTACCTACACTGGCTCGATACTGAAGATCAGATGGATTGCCAGAATAGTGAGAATAAGCAACAAGGAACTCTGGCTGGCTGGCTGGCAGCGAACCAACCAAGAACCTATCACTCAACAAATATTCAGTGGAAGGAAGTGGAGATGGATTGGGCATGCACTGAGAAGGCCGACTGGGGACATCATGCGTCAGGCCAGTCCCTCAAGTGGAATCCCCATGGGAAGCGACGAGTTGGACGTCCGAGGGTGACATGGAGTAGGTCGTGCGAGGAAGAAATGAGAGGTTGTGGGCTGTCGTGGAGCCAGGTTCAAAAGATCTCAGGGAACAGAGGTCACTGGAGACGTGTTACTGAAGCCCTATGTTCCACTAGGAACCCAAGGGACTAATAATAATAATAATAATGATAATAATAATAATAATAAATACTTGTTCGATCGGTAGTACTATGAGCAATTAAAGGTCACTCCGGGGATCACTTAAGTTCTGAAGTACATTTCTATGTTTACCCATATAGAGTTCCATGTACTAAGCGTCGGATGACATCTATCATAGATCGTGGGGGGGGATTTGGTTACTGTTGGGCCGCTTAAATTTTGACAAGTGGAGTAGGTTTTCAATTCACTATCCTTAGATTCTGAGTTGAATACCTAATCTAGTGAGCCGAAGCTCTACGTATTTAAAGTTGGAGACATTCAGACTTGTATACGGAGTTGGGTTCTTCATCACCTCCTTTGCTTTCATAAAGCAAATAGTGGTGAAATAAGAATGGGTACTGCATTCAAACAGCACTGATCTATGATTAACGTCACAATTGATCTCAAGAACTTCAGGTGTAACTTGTATTTGATTGGTTGTTTCTTTGCACTTCTCTCTGATTGGTCAGTTTTGTTAGAAAAGAGATTTGACCAATCATATTATACAAGGACAAATTATTGAATCAAATATCGTCTACAAGGGAAGGTCATTACATGAATATGCTTAAAGCTATCCTGTTTGAACTTTCTATCAATCTCCACTAAGTATCGATGATGATAATAGTAAACTCACAGGAAACGCCCCAAATGGAAATCAACATTTTAAGTCATTAGCTATTAAGGTAGAAGTTTTATTTCATGTTACTGTGTGGTGAACAAAAATCTTATTGGATAACTTTGTCTTGCAGTTGACCAGTTAAAATAAATATCCAATTTCTGACCTAATGGTTTTGTATGTTCATGAAAATTGCATATAAAAGATGATTTTTTTTCTGAATAAATTGTCTTCCTTACAATCATAGCTTGGTCTTTGTCTTCCAATTTTCTCAGCTGAATGAAGAATAAGGTTTTGAGAGAAACTAGTCTCTATTCGTTTCTAGTTCAAGTATCTTACTGAGTTATTGTCATTTGTATTATTATTATTATTATTATTCACACCTTTTCAATCACTTACCGATCTTCAATTAGAGTACCAATATTACTAATTTCCCAGTATGAATCAGGATATTGATCGAACCAAGCTGTATTATCTGCATTCTCCGTACAATCCTTAGACAATAGAAGTTTTTTTTTTTCAAAATCAAACGAAAAAAGAGACAGAAAATTAGAATTATTGTGATATAATTGATATATATAGGCAATACTGTAAGGAATGCAAATGTGATTAATCTAAGTAATAATGAAAGGTGCACAGATACATATACATGTGAGTGATCTGATGTGTTAATAAAACTAACTGTTAGATGTTAATGAAAGCGTGAAAACAACAAAAAAAACGATGATAGCTAGCAAGTATAGCTGTATATGAGACAGGCATGATCACAATATGTGGGGAGCGAGAAGAGGGGGATACGCTGGACTACGGAAAAGAACCTAGAAGATATGGATTTCGCCAACGATGACTTGTGCCTGATGTCACACAAACTTGAAGATCTACAGGCGAAAGCTAACAAGTTGGCAGAAGAGGCGAGGCAGCGAAGACGAGACTTCAAGTGAATGTAGAGAAGACAGAAGTGATGAAGATACCCAACCAACAACTCCAACAAGCTCCAATCACCATCAACGGGAGAAACCTAAAGGAAGTAACCTCCTTCACCTACCTAAGTAGCACTGTTTCAACTACAGGCGGCACACACGAGGATGTCAAAGTCAGGATCCGAAAAGCAAGACAGGCGTTCATTAGCCTGAAACCAGTGTGGATATCTTCTACACTCAGCATGTGGAACAAGATCCGCATTTTCAACACCAACCCAGTCAAGTCAGTGCTACTATATGGTTCAGAGGCTTGGCGCATTGCAAAAGGGATTTCCAACAGACTACAGACATTCATCAACAACTACCTACGCTGGCTCGATACTGAAGATCAGATGGATTGCCAGAATAGTGAGGATAAGCAACAGGGAACTCTGGCTGGCTGGCTGGCTGGCTGGCAGCGAACCAACCAAGAACCTATCACTCAACAAATATGCAGTGGAAGGAAGTGGAGATGGATTGGGCATACACTGAGAAGACTGACTGAGGACATCACTCGCCAGGCCCTCGAGTGGAACCCAGATGGGAAGCGACGAGTTGGGCGTTCGAGGCGAGGATGACATGGAGGAGATTGTGTGAGGAGGAAATGAGAGCTTGTGGGCTGTCGTGGAGCCAGGTGGGAAAGATTTCCGAGAAGAGAGTGTACTGGAGACGTGCTAGTGAAGTCCTATGTTCTATTAGGAACCCAAGGGACTACTAATATAATAATAATAATGATCACAATTAACTGCAGTTAAAAATCCTCTCTCAAACTCTCTGCGTAATTACATCTCAAACATACCAAAAATGACTATTTATTAGGTACAGTATGTTAATTATGCAGTGTAGTTCACAAATATTGAGCTCGCTAAGATTAGCCATTACATAGAAGTAGATTCTTGTTCTTACTCCCAAATTAAAAAAGTTACACTCGTATGATTTTGAAATGATGGAGAATATTTGTGGCTTAAATGAATGATCTTGGTTGTATTGTGTTCTCTGAACTGAGTTGTTTAGTCATGGAGATTTCATCGTCTTTCTAGACGACATCTTCAGCAATAATTTCAGTAGGAAGTGACCTGTCAATATCTCTCTGTAAGTGATTCAGTAGATTGCCTTGACATATTGGTTGTTTTATCATTGACTACATAGATTTTCTTGTTGGCTATTCCTTCGTTTGACCTCTGAACTTTCTGCTGTTTATCGTTTTTCTTGTTGGTTGATAGATTGAGTCTATGTTTATACATCTATTGATTGCTGACTGGCTGACCTAAATGGCAAGCTTCTAAGAATTCTCTGATATTTCTTGTGCTTACTCTGTTCAAGATTTCTACACTGTCACAATTGAATTTATGTCCATAGTTATCCACGTGCACTGAAATGATTAATGATGTCGTTTAGATAGATGAATGCCCCAGGATTAAACAACCTAGCTCAGAGAACACAATACAGCCAAAATTACAAGCAGTAAGTGGTTTAATGCCAGAAGAATGTTAACCAAAATCTTATGTTTTTACACCAGTCACTGCACTTTATTTGTAATTATGCAATGAATAAATACTGACAAGTGTATGAATTCTTATTTCGACAGCTATTTCAGCGATGGTAGCAACTATTTCATGAAATATTATACCATTGATTACTCATTTTATATAAGTAGTATAAATATTTAAGCAAAAGATATATGCATCACCCTTATCAAATCGCAAAAGCATAATGTTATTATTGCCGTTAATTTGGTAAAAATTAGTAGAAAACGATAAAACACTGGTAAGGATATTAGAAAAATACACAATAAAAAGTGCACGTACACCCATACAGTTGATAGTAAAATGTGAAAATTATGGAGTTTCAAAAAAAATATTGTAAAAACAACATAAAACAGGATAAAAAGAGAGAAATAATTTATAGTCAGTATGTTAAAATGAAATTATAATTACAATACAAGTAGCAAGATAGGATAAATAATCCCTGGAGTAGTGAGTGACGTAATTCATTATGTGTTGACCGAGGTAGAAATGTTCCCCAGACTGGTGTTCATTAGAGTGGAGCTTTCCAACATCTCAGTCATTAATCTTAGATACACCCTAGAAGTAGCAGATGTCAGTTTAGGCTTACCTGCAGCAATATTGCTACTTGTAAGTAATAAAACTAAGAGAATATGCACAATAAGATCTGAAGAATATGCCTCATAGATAATGTCGTGTGATCTTGTGGATTCTCATTTGTGGCAAGTGTTTTGTATTGCATTAAGGTTATACTAGTGAACAGTTCATGGTGAGAAATGTTACTGAAAATAGTGACTCATTAAAAGGTTATTCTTCAGGAAGGGGGATAGCAGGGAATTTATTAGAAGGGTTGGATTTGATAGTGGTTTGTATAGCGCATAGACATCAAGAACAATATCTTATTATTACTGGTTGGAAGACATTGATTAGTTAATTGAGTGTGTGATGAAATATTCACTTTCATATTTTATAAGAACAGTTTTTTTGTAGAAGAATGAGGACCGAAAAGTCAATGTTTTAAATGATAACATACTCTACACTTAGTTTCTCGGGAATTGCTTATTCTGAAGTCCTTTTACATCATTGAATGAAATCAGTGTGATAAGCATACCTAAAACATATTTACACGCACATGCAACACATAGATATTAGAGATTAGAAAATGGTCAAGATAAGCCATTTTATGGCTCACGCTAGCAACCACTAATACAATCCATCAGGCCTCACTATTTCATGGAAAAACTATCCATCTAGCCAAAATGAGGAAATTTAATTGGTTATCCTAGTGGCTACTAACATGACCTTTAAGAGTTACTCTGGTCGATGGGTGTGCTTTTTAAGTTCGTATTCACAGGGATAGACATTGTGAGAGACTTTAAAGACCACCATGATAACTGCCGAGATAACGAATTAAATTTCTTTATTTTTTCGTAAAACCATCTCAGTTGAACTGTCAAAACTTGATTGGTTATTTTAGTAGTTGCTGGGGGACCTTTAAAACCACTTCACATTCTGATACGATCTAGAATCTAGATCAGAGTCTGCATATCTCATCGCAACCTTACTTTTTTTACGTGCTAAAGCTACGTGACCGTAGATGCTACAATTTCAATCAGTTCGTAACAGCGAAAAATGATTGCCTACTTCGGGATATTGTATCAGCAAACAAAATTTACAGCTTTGATGGAATATGACATAATTCCTTTGAGTACAGTGTTAAGTTTTACTCCTTTTCTACTTTGTATCAATCTTTACTCCCTAACATGTTGTATTTGTAATGCAACCCTATTACCCACCCATCTGCTTCTATTCGATTAACAGTTACTCTACATTTGTTATGAGGTTTACTTTCGTCTGCTTACACTTTTTTTTTATAGATGTGACATTGATTTTGATTGGCTGCCTTTATCATCTCTAATTGATTTTGTGTATAGACTGATCTCGATCATCTAGTTATTTTGTTCGTTTCAATGTAGGTTATCTGTAGATTAGCTTAATGTATAGATAACTGTCAAAAATTCATGTAACCAATGTAGGTATGTTTGTTTCTGAGTTTTAAAATACTATGTTTAAACGTAGAGCCTGATGAGACGTATTTGCTGAAATATTTGCCTTTCTAATGTTAGCACTGGAATATATTGTATATTTGTAGACTGTTTATTTGGTTCCTGTTACTTCTTCCTTGTAATTGATTCAACAAATTTTACCTACGGAACCAGCACAATATAAGAAACCTGCATAACCGTATTAGGAAGGAAGCGGAAACAAGACAAATAATGGAATGGATCTCGACGGACATATGGAAGCTGATAGGTGAGGGAGAGGAAGATGGTGAAGTAGAAGATGAACCAATGCAAGGATATACAACGAGAAGAGGATCTGAGTACAATGTAGAAAACACTGCACAAAGAAGTGAAAAAGAGTGCACGCAAAGACAAAAAAACACTTCTAGGACATACCTGCATGTTAAGCAGAACAGGCTGCAGGTAGGAGAGACCTGAGAACACTATATCGAATAACGAGGTTACTATCTAAGAAGAGACCAACGCAGATGAAACCAATAAAATATAAAGAAGGAAACCTAGTTACCGAAGAGGGAAACAACGGAAACGATGGACTGACCACTTAAAAAATCTCTTGAATCGACCACCACCACCTGTAACTCGTCCGGAATTACCACTAGCGACGGCAGAACTACCAGTGAACACAAGCCCTCCAACAAAACCAGAAGTCCTGAATGCCATAAAGTTGCTGAAATCCAAAAAAGCACCATGGCCAAATGGGATTCCGCCAAAAGCACTGAAAACACACAGGGACAACAGCAGTGGACATGCTCACACCACTATTGCAGAAGGTTTGGAAGGAAGGAAAGGTACCTACCGATTGATTGGAGAGGGGCTACCTTACCAGCGGACTCTCAAAGAAGGGAGACCTAAGTGTTTGCAAGAACAGGAACTGGTGCGGAATTATGCTCCTGTTCAAACAAAATATTATGCCACATCATCCTGGAGAGACTAAAAGATGTTCTGC